GGGGGGAGCGGAGGGAGGTTGGGGGCCGGCTCGCAGGACCGCCCGTCCAGCGAGAGCACCTTTGGGGCCCAGGAGCCCCAGGGTCCTCGACCTGGTCTTGGTCCGATCAGACCAGACACTGCCCCCTCCCTGGTGCTGGGAAAGGAGAGGTTAGCGGACGGTGTACCTTTGTTTACGGGAATCCTAAACGCCGGCCTGGAGCGAAGGCTAAACTACTTCGGGGGAACACGAAATTCCATCCCCTCAGAAATTCTGCATTGATGTTTGCCATCTCATGTTTAAGATTTGTCCTTCACGCCTTTGATTTTCAAGAAAATAAAGTAGACCGATGCTTTCCCTCAGTTTTTCCTGCTTCCTCGGCGGTGGGAACCTGACGAGGCACTTCAGTTGACACGGAATCCGTGTGGGAGGAGCCGTGGGAGCCCAGTAGGACTTACGAGCAACCGTAGTCTTTCCCGGTAGTTAGCACCGACAGCGACCGGGACGGAAGCTGCCACTTAGATAAGTGAACGCTGTGATGGCTCTTTTCTGAAATGAAGTGGGGTCTGTTCACTGCTTTCCTCTTGGAGGGCCGGGCCGCCTGTCCCGGTGCAGCTGCTGCTCGATGTTTGTGCAGAATCTGCGGTGGAGGAACTCGCTGGGTGCTTAACAGATCACAGCGTCCGGCAGCGGGTCCCGGCTCACAGCCAGAGCGATTCCCGGAGAGGCTGCTGCCCCTGCCCTGGTTGGCACCTGGGAGGTCCACCTTGGAGCACCTCCCCTGTACCTGCTCGCAGAGCAGACTGAACGCGTCTGTTCTCAGTGGCCAAGCGTTTCTGTGATTCTCCAGGGATTAAATCAGTCACTTTACCTGCAAGCAGGAAAAACTCTCAGGGAAGTGTCAGGAAGCAGCATTAATCCAGAGGCTCCCATTGCTAATGGTCAAGTGCACCAGCCTAGGTGGGCCGTCAGGCCATCTTCCGTTTCTTCAGGCTGGCCTCAGCTTACCTTTCCAAGAATTCTTTATGGAAAGGGGGGGGGGGGGCTTAAAAAGGAAAAAAATAAGAAAAAGAACAGAAACAAAATTTGTGTTTCTTTCTAGGCCGGTTCTCTATTTCCCTGGAAGGTCTCTACTTCCTTACACGGAAAGCCGCACTGACACTCCTGGTACATCACATTATTCCTTTCCATCTCCTGTGAGCACACTGGCGAACTGACATTCATCTTTTATTGGGAGCTTTATGACTTATGTTGGGGGTTTTCTGGTGTTGGTGCCCATTGAAATCATTACATTTTCTCCTCAACGTCCATTTGTCCCTCATGTCTCTCACTGGACTTTGTTCCTCTCACTACACTCAGAGTTGATTCTCTTTTTCTGCTCAGAAGTGTTCAGGTGAGGTTATTATTTATGAAGTTTGTAGCTATCTTGGTTTGAAAGTGCCCCCTAGACAAACCAGCTCCCAGTGATTGGCTTCTAAGTGTGTACTTGGTTTGCGTTTGTTTCATTGGGGATTCTGGGGCACCCAGAGTACAGTGACCACTATGTTGTGTACTAACCGTGTTATCTGTAATGTACTGATGGCCAGATATTAAAACAGGGACTGCTGCATGTGCCTGTGTACCATTTACTTTTTTCTTCTTTTTTTTTATCATGGCATTTGAAAAGCTTACTGTCTGTTTGGGAAAGGAAAAAAAAGACCTCCTGCTGGGACTGCTTTAGCTGGAGAAGAGCTACGAAGGACATAAGCTTGTGATTTTCCGCTTCAGACTCTTAAGCCAGTGACTTGGCATCAAGTAGGAAAGCCGAGGCCCTGTTACTGCAGTTGGTAATTTTCAGCATCGGCCTTTTCCCAGAAGAGAGTATCGAGAGGAGAAGACAGCTGTGTGCTCTCTTGTCTTCTCTGCTAGACTAGTCAGGTAGGCATACACAGAGCCTACCCGTGGAACCTCTAGGGGTGCAGGGACCCCAGAATAAAACCGCCAGAAGCTTGTGCCCGTTGACTCCAGGGAAGGAGTGTGCAGTAGCCTGGAAAACTGGGAACCAGTTCCCAGCATAAATGTCTCCAGCCGGCTGGCGAGTGATTGAGAATCAGTCCTTTCTCAAGTTTGTCACAAGATTATCTCATTTATAGGAACACAAACACCTCCCTGCCTCCATATGCTACTCTCTGGTACTGGTTTATCCAGATAGAAAGCTTAGTGGTAAAGACTTATTAGCTGGAATTAAAGAAATCCCATCAAAACTGCATTCGGTGGGATTTGGCCCAATTATAATTTGCTATATTGGGTATGGTGAATGTTCTAAAATACAGAAGGATATTGCTGGCTGAAGTCCTTAGTGCTCCCAGAATCAGTCTTAACAACTGAAGGGTTTATGCTGATTTTATGGATCATAGAGACTAAGACGCTTGTAATAACTCCCAGCTGTTTATGAGTGGTCTGCCCTGTCAGAGATTGTTATTTTCAGGTCCTAGTATTACCTGCTCTTCTTTCTTGCCAGACCTCCGATCCCTCTCTCTCCCTCTCCTGTCTCTGTGTTGCTACAGTTTAGAAGACCAAAGTGGACAGTGGACTTTTGCTCACTATGATGACCTCCACTGTATGTATTTCATTGCATGATGACATATCTTTAGCTGGTGGCGGGTTGATGAGTTAATGGGGTGTTAGGCATAGTGACTGAATCTAGGAGACACTGCTAGGGGGTGGGGAGTGTAGGAGCGAGTAATAGAGGAGTTGGAGGGAATCAGAAAAATTAGCAGCAGATGATTTGGACAGAAACGGGAAAGGCTTTGATGATGGCCAAAAACTGAGGTTATCCTAGGACAGTGATGGCAAACCTTTTGAGCTCGGCGTGTCAGCATTTTGAAAAACCCTAACTTAACTCTGGTGCCGTGTCACATAGAGAAATTTTTTGATATTTGCAACCATAGTAAAACAAGATTTATATTTTTGATATTTATTTTATATATTTAAATGCCATTTAACCAAAAAAAAAATCAACCAAAAAAATGAGGTCGCGTGTCCCCTCTGACAGGCGTGTCATAGGTTCACCATCACTGTCCTAGGAGAACCTAGACTTCAGGGCGTAGGAACTTTTCAGATCAAATGAGGAAATTTTAAGACGACCAAGCTGGGTTCTGCATCTGATCTCTTGACCCTGATTGCCCAACTTAACGTTTGGCTATGCTATTCTGATTGCTTCTCCTAAAATAGTTTCCCGGCATTCAGAGTAACTGAACTGTGTGTGGCTGTTCTAGTTCAGGGGCTCTTGTATCCCTGGCCTCACTGGTGCCACAAATCACCCTGTGCCCCCTGATTGTAAGCTCCTTGACGTGTTCCACTTTGTGTTTTGCACAGTGCCTGAGGGTGCAGCACTAAACACATTGGTTACATATTCAGTGAAAGGAGAAAGCTCCACCAGCACCAGAAAGCGCATAAATCCTTAGCTAGTGATAAGAGGTTAATGAGCCACATGCTTGCTGGCTGGAAAGCTGCCCCATTCGTCCATTCATTCCTTTTGAACTGTGGGCTCTGACCAGAATCAGGGATCTGTGTCCATTCGAGGTAGTACTGGGTCCCTGAGCCTGAGAAGAATTCTTTGGCCGTCTCTGAAGTACTGCCAGCAGTATACTAAGCTGAGTGTATTCTCCTTTCGAGACTGACTTCTGCAAGACGCCCAAAGCTATTCATATGTTTTCCAATATGAAGTCCTTCTCAGTAAAGCCGATGATAAGGCCGTGCTTCCCTGTGAGGACATGTTTTGTGGTCAGCCTCCTGAGAAGGATTTCCCAACGTTCCTTCTCGCGGGGCGGCCTCCTCCCGAGGTGTCCAGGGGCCTCGCGCTTCCTGTTCTCCTGGGCGCAGCTGTTGCCTAAGTGGCCTCCGTCTTGTCAGTCTGCACATTTGAAGAAAGAGGAACTCTCTTTGTGTTGACACCATGGAAAGGCCTCTGTACGGTGAATTTTTGATGTCTCTCGAACTAAATTTGCTTGTTGCTTTCCGTTGTGCTTGTGAGTTGAGCACAGCGTGGCTTTGGAAACTTGAGGCTTGCCCTCACTTGCCTACATACACCAACTGTAGTCCCTGAGAAGAAAGTGTGATTACTCTTGGATTTTAAAAAAGAACTCATACAAAAAAGAGACAGCCTCCCCTGGGAGCAGAGTCACGCTTACTTACTGCCCCTTATACAGGTTTTGGTTCCCTAAGCTCAAGTTTCCACTCCTATAAAGCCACTCATTCCATGAGAAGGTGTTACCAGGTCCTCTTTGCATTGCCCTGGAGTTATGGGGACAGGTAGCCAGGACAAGAAAATGTTAATATTATGGCTACTACTATAGCTGAGACATCAACTCCTTTGTTTCTGGGAGAGGGAAAAGCCTGGTCATTTACAGGATAGTGGAACTCCTTGGGCACCTTTCAATACTATTCTCATCACCCTGAGGCCTGGTTAAAGACTGCTGTCTGAAATCCAGCTCTGGAGGACCTGAAGGTTTGGAGACTTCCTAGAAAACGGAGCTCTAGGTTTCCCTGGTTTTCCTGAAGACTCTGTGCCTGTCTGGTTTCTGAAAGGCGCGTTTGAGTGGGGCTTTGCTCACGACCCGTGGTGGCTGTCCAGGCTCTTGCTGAGCCGGCGGTTTGGGATTTGTGTGGCAAAGGGCAAGGCTGCCTCCTTATGCTCAGCTTCCTGCTTTCAGGTAAGTGATTGGTTACCTTAAAGGGAAATGGTGGTGAAGTGTGCTATCTAAGTGTTGAACCCAAGCTCTAATCCTACGATAGAATTAGGAGGCCTCACAGAGAAATTAACCACTGGGCAGCTAGCCCAGGAGCTCCCTCTGCATGCAGGCTATTTGCATTATCCGAGCATTTGTAGGTAAAATCCAGCTGAGTCCAGCTGGCACTTAACTCCTTTCTAAGCCTGGGAGGTCTTGTAGTTCCAGCCAGGTGTTGCCTTCATATTTTTGCTCCACAGTCTCAAAGCCAGAGCTTTCTTGGGCGAATAGCTTTGGCTTGATGGGCTATTTCTTCTCACTGAATGGGGTCCATACAAGTGGGGGAGTTGAGGGTAGACACTGCTTTTCTGTGGTGACAGTTTGGTACAAAAACCACAGATGCTTTGAAGGCAAACAACCAGGTGCTCTATTTTCAGCCTTACCTGTGAGATTAGTGGGGTTCTGAGTAAAGGCTGCTATTAAAGAGGAAGAAGGAGTAGATTTCATTATAGCATTAAGTGGCCTTTAGACTTGGCGGCAGAATGTGAGTTTATTAGCTAGCATCGTACTCAGTGCCGACTTGTGGAAATGGAACCAGAAGGGGAGCAAATTGTCAGCGCCCTTCTTGTCTGTGTTTGCTTTTAGTGTCTGCCCCCCGGGGCTGAGACACCCAGCCTGTCCCCAAGCTGAAGCTGCAGGGTCCTGAGGTACCAGCTAGATGTCTTCTCACAAAGGACCGGTGGTGGCACAGGGCAATGGGGCTCCTGCCAGTAACAGGGAGACTGACACGGTGGAGCTGGCGGAACTGGGACCCCTGCTGGAAGAGAAGGGCAAACGCGGGATCGCTGACCCGGCCAAAGTAAGTTGTCTTTCTCGGAGTGATTTCCTCCATCGGACTTTCTCCTGGAACCTCTGCCGTCTCAGCTCCCTCCCCAGAAGAGGAACCAGGGCACCCTGGGAATGTCTCACCTCGTCCTCCTCATGCTGTGTCAAAGGACCTTTTTATTTGTCTGTTTCCCCACTGTGCGCTTTTGCGAGTTCACCCATCTCTGTAACCCCAGGGCTTAGCACAGGCCTGCAGTCCCGTAAGTCATCAGGAAATGGCTGAGCGAACGAAGGGTGCAGTTAGGTGAGGTTTGGCTTCATGTGACAAACACACACCCCTGTGGCTCTGGCAAGACAGAAGTCTGTCCAGTAAAGGGTTCTAGAAGGAACTGGCCAAGGCTGTGTGGAGGCTGCGCCACTGTCCAGCACGTGTCTTGCTCCTCCTTCATTTAAAAAAATTATTTTTAATTTATTGGAGTGACACTGGCTAATAAAATTATATAGGTTTTAGGGGTGCAATTCTATAATACATCATGTGTATATGGTATCGCGTGTCCTCCTTCCATCACCATTTATTCCCCCCTTTGCCCTCTCCGACCTCCCCCACTGCTTTCCCTCAGATAATCACCATGACTCATGGATACAGAGGACAGACTGACAGCGGTCAGAGGGGAGGTGGTTGTGGGGCTGGGTGAAAAAGGCAAAGGGATTAAGCACAAAGAAAACCCTTCTCCTTCATTCTTGAGGTCACCCACCAGGCCCACACTGGCCACACCAAGGAGGAGGGGAGAAGGACCCGCCCTTTCTAGAGGTGTCTCAGGACACTGCCCTTGATGCCACCTGTGGGAAGTCGTGGAGTCATGTTCAGCTGCAGTGGAGCTTGGGCAACGCAGCCTCTCATTGGGCCTGAGTAAAATTACAGGAACGACACCAAGAATTTGGCCCGCTCTGAATAAAACCAAGGACTCTGTCACGAGGACAAGAGGGAGTGTGCTGTGGGGTAGGCAGGCTGGAATCTGTCACGGAGCCTGAGGGGCCGTTTGCTTGCCAGGAACCACCAGCAGGAGAGAGAGAGAGAGGATGTCGGGGAAGGAGCCGTGTTTGGAGTCGCGGGGCAGCCTCCATGAGGGCGCTCCTCCCCCCGTGCGCGCAGTCGGTGCTGCTTGTTCCGTGGAATCGGTTCCGGGCCCTGGTGCTCCTGAGGGTACAGTTTTGTCATCATGGCGTCCCCAAGTCAGCAAACGGAGCTGTGAGCAGGTCTCGGTCCTCCGGGGATCCGAGACCCAGTCCTGCTCGTTGCTTTGAGAATCTCGTGGTCTGGAAGATGGAAGTATTTGGGAAATCGGGGGAACTCGAGAAGCACTGTTCCAGAGATTGGGGGGGGGGGGGGGGCCTTCAGTCTTC